GTTTTCCTTGCTTATAAAAAATTTCATAGTCATATTCCTCTAACTTGAGGCGCCAACGAATTAATCTACTTCCTGGATCCTTGACATTAAAAAGCCAGACTAAAGGTCTGTGATCAGTGACTATTTTAAACTTACTACCATAAATATAGGGTCGGAATGTTTTTACGGCGAAGAGTATAGCTAAACATTCTTTTTCTGTTGTTGAGTAATTGCCTTCCTGTTTATTTAATGTTCTTGAGGCATACGCGATCGGTTTGTCTTTTCCGATAGGGCCTTGCGATAATATTGCGCCGACAGCATAATTACTGGCGTCTGTGGTGACAATGAATGGTTGAGAAAAATCGGGGTATTGAAGTAACGGAGCTGAAGTTAGTTTTTCCTTTAACAAATTAAAAGCTTGGGTTTGTTCTTGTGTCCAATTAAAATTAACATCTTTTTTTTAACAATGACGTAAGGGGTTTTGTAATTTTTGAGAAGTTATCTATGAATCGGCGGTAGTAACCTACTAGACCTAGAAATGATTTAATTTCCTTGGGATTTTTGGGAATAGGGTAGTCGGATACTGCCTTCACCTTGTCAGGGTTAGGTGTGACACCTTTGTCGGTTATTACATGACCTAAATAAGTGACTTCGTGTCGAAGGAATTCGCATTTGTCTGGTTGTAGCTTTAAATTGAAGTCTCGAAACCTATCAAAAACAAGACGTAATTTTTCCATATGACTTTGAAGATCGTGGCTGTAAATGATGCAGTCATCTAGGTAGACGAAACAGTGGAGACCTTGGAGACCAGAAAGGACGGTATTCATGAGACGTTGGAACGAATTTGCAGCACTTTTTAATCCAAAAGGCATGCGAGTGAATTCAAAATGACCGGAAATGCCATTTATGTTGGTTACAGTAAAACCAGTCTTTTCAGCATCCTTAGGATTGAGAGGAATTTGATGGAAGCCAGAAACTAAATCGAGTGTCGAAAAATATTTGGAATGCCCTAATTGATCTAATATATCGCTAATTAAAGGAATAGGATAAACTTCGTTTATGGTCGCATCATTAAGTCGCCTGTAATCTATAACAATGCGCCATTTCTTTTTGCCCGATGCGTCCATTTTCTTAGGCACGACCCACACTGGGGCGCTCCACGGAGATATTGACGGCTTAATAATATTTTGTTTTAACATCTTTTTTAATTGTGCGTCTACTTCGTCTTTATGACATTCGGGAAAACGATATGACTTAACATGAATAGGAGGGGTGTTTCCTGTATTGATTGAGTGTTGGATCGCGTTTGTACATGTGAGGTCATCTCCTTCAAGATAAAATATGTCTGAGTATTGTGAGCAACAATCTAATAAGAGTTTTTTCTCTTCTGAGTTTAAATGAGAATGACGAATTTGTTCGCAGATGCGTTGGACACGATTAGAATAAGTTGTAGAAATAGTATTTATATTATTATAAGATTCAAAAGATTTGGAATATTCTTTAAAGTCAAATGGTGTTAAGTTAACTTTGAAATTTTTTATTTTAATTTGCGATTCAGTTGTGTTTAAAACCGAAACATTAACTCTTTTATTCGCTTTTAAAGTTACTAGGCAGTTCGCTAAATAAACGCCATTACAAACGGTTTGATCTAGTATGAGTGCATCCTTAAGGTGACGCAACTCGGACGGGTCATTTGACACGGAGCATTCGATAACATTTTCGCTACGCGCTGGTATAATGTATGTAGGTTCCGAAAAGTGGATAGGCACAGATATAGAATTTTTGAATCAAAGTGAATAAGTATGATAATCAATGTTTACTTTAAAATAACTGAGAAAGTCGCTTCCTAATATTCCGTCATAATCAATATTAATATCGTCGGATGTGACATGAAATTTATATTTTATGGAAAAATTATCTAAAATAAAATCTAACAGTAATGTTCCTAATGTTTCGTTGCAAGATTGAGTGCTGTTTATACCCTTGAGTTTTACGATTTCATCAGAAAGCTTAAAGTTTCCATTTAAACTCGATTTTTTTATAATAGAGACACTTGCACCTGTGTCGAGTAACAATCGTAGGGGTTGAACTGAAAAATTCGACCTAAAATAAACATGAGGTAGTGATGTTTTCTTATTCGATGTGTTCATGCTATATGTTGGTATTTCTCCTTTATTATTAATTGAATTATCAGTAGGATTAGCATGACTCAAAATTCCTTTTTGAGATGTATATTTTGGATAAGAGATAGTATCATTATGAGAGACAGAATTAGTATAAGAATTAGTAAAAGAATTAGCATTAAAATTATTTCTAAGACTCTGATGTTGATTCAGAGGTGTCCTGGGATGATTTTCCCGAGGTAATAAATAATTGGTATTATGACTTTGACTTTGTGTAAAAGATGGACTCGGATGTTGTTCCCGAGGTGTAGAATTAGAATAAGAAATAGTATTTTTTAATTTACATGATTTAGTAGGACTCGGCGGCCTTTGACGTCGCTGAGATGTATTGTAAGAATATTTTGTACGATAATTATAACTAAATTCGTTATCATTATATATAGGCTTAGTATAGGATTTAGTATAAGAATTAGTAGAATAATTATTTGTGCCTTTAAATGCTTTCGATTTCGGTAGACACTTTTCCGAAATCAGATTTAGTTTAAATCTTCATTACTAATATCGGCATTAGAGGTAGAAGGTTGTGCGTCACATAAATGCATATTGTTTCTATTAGGTGCATGCGCACTGGGACTTGGTAACGTATTCGTCGTGCGAGAGTCTGGTTGCATATTATGACGAAGGCTATTGTTATATTGTCGCTTTCGACATTCGTTTATCATATGTCCCGGACTTTTACAATAACTGCATATTTTAATAGGATTTTTGTTTGAAATATTATGAAAATTAGAATGAGGGTTATTATTTTGTGGATTAACGTAATAAGCTCGACGAGATTGTTTTTTCTTATGATTATAGCAGTTAGAAGAATCATGACCAAATTTTTGACATATAGAACACTGTTTATAAGATTTGGAAGATATTTTGCTCAGAATGAATAGTTTTTCTTCTTCTATGTCATGCGTAATTGCCTCGCTTAAATTTTTCGGGTTTCGACATCTAACAATATATCCGTAATTAGAATTTAGACCTAATATAAATGTGTTGAGGGCTAAATCCTCCATAGCGGCAATTCTTCCTACTAGCTCGGACTTATTCTCGCAACTGTAATGTATGTCGGATTGTAATCGTGTTAAACAAGATTCGATTCTAAGTGAATATTGCATTACTGTTTCCGAATTTCCTTGCCTACAATTTTGGAGTTCAATTAAAAGGTGTGTGGAGTGTTTCTTCTCGCCAAAGGTAGTTTTTAGAAATAGTTTTAATTCATCCCAACTATTAAACGTTTTTAGAGAGCACGCGATTTGAGCTTTTCCTTCTAACTGGGATATGATATAACGATATAAAACTGCTTGCTGTTCCGAGTTCGCGAGTGCTATGGCGTTATCACAATTTGTGAGAATAGCCGGAAGTGATTCTCTATCACCATTGTAAGGTTTGATGAATTTTACAAGGACGGATAAGGGAATTTTGTCGGACATTTCTATTTCTTCTGGTTTGTCCTTTAAAGTTTTAACCTTATGCATATGGAATTAGAAAGATTTAGGAGTTAGTAAATACAAAATTGGTAAAATGAGAATATTATTGTACACGACAAATGACAAAAGAATGTGAGGAAATAGAAGAGGAATAGTATAAAATTATAGCTAAATTAAAGTTACCTAACTTACAATATCACGATCACTACGGTGTACATTGGTTGCTATGCCGGTGTCGTGTTGCAATGACGTGCAGCGGAGTCGCGTTGCCGTGAGACCCAGGGAGTCGTTTGACGGCGGCGTCCACGTGGTTGTGCGATGGGAGTGCAGCAGCTCAGGGCAGGCTCACACGCTGGTGGTGTAGACTAACAGCCTTGATGAACTTCGAGTTGACGATGGTGTCCCAAGCTCGTGGGGCTGAGACCTCGTTGGTGCTTTGATGATGCAGGCTCACACTCGTGGGGTGGAGACTTACTGTCGACCTTTCACTTCAGAGTTTCCCAGGATTCGGATGCCACGCTACTGATGTACCGGTAGACCTTGCGACATCCCACTTCTGACACCAAATTTGTTAGGATGGCCGCTCTGAAGGTGTTTTTAAAAAAAAACTTTTACACCCAATCCCAGAAGTTCTTTTGGTTTATTTCCCCAATATTAAATTAATACAAGAAATGTACAAAAGCCGCGAACGGCGTGTGCGATATGCACTTAATATGGGTTGGAACTGCACTGCCTCGATTACCTCAAACTCTAGGCTTTTATAATAAATATAATAATCGAGTCAGCGCTTTTATCTAACTAGGGTTGGACATAACAGCTCGTAATCATGAGTACTACGGAGCTTTCCAACTATCAGGAGGTTTTTTATAGAAGTAAGGGTAACAAAGAAGCACACAGTCCACCTGATAGTAAGTGGTGGTTACCAGGAGAAGCGCGGGAATAGAGGCAGGATGCGGGCGCTGAAACCTCATTCCTTTCATGCGCCTAATTGTTTTAGCCAAGTTTTGGAAACAATTTACATGGCTGAAGAAAGTTGCATAATCGCCTGTCGAGGCTAAAATCATTATTTTCTTTTTAACGTTCATCTATCTACATGTATTTCTAGAAGTCTCATCAGTATGGAATTATAAAAAAAAATATTACTACTATTAAAAATGATTGTGATATGAAAAGTGGCAATTCTATTGATAATTCGAATTCTAAAATGTCCGTCTTTATATTTTTTTATGTGTGAAACGTACTTCTAAACACTTCACCGTTCTAGCGGAAGTGTGTGCGCTCTAAGAAGATATCAACTACAACTACTGAACTTTATTATCGTACATATGAAGAAATTTTAGTCTTTTTTAGATTAGGTATGAGAAAATACCATAAGCTTTGGTGAATCCATTTTTCTGTAAATTTATTATCTTTATTTTAGGCATCCGTATCCTCCTTTTAACATTCACTATCGCTACCGCTTCCACGCGCCCAATCACGACACATACGAGGTATCTTGGGTTTCCTTCACCACTGAGAAGCTGGAAAACTATAGCTGGAATTACATGGACCACTACATTTGTACCAGAGGTGACACAGACTTCGCACTTGTTGAGGTAATTTACGGATCATGTTTATTTTTAAATTACTTTGAAAAATATATGCACATGTTTTGTCATGCACAAGAGTTTCTTATAATGAATTTCTACCACTCCTTTACAGTTGCAGGAAGACAGTTATCGCACCCGATCCCTAAAAAAGGTAACAGCTCTGATCTGTCTAACTATAGGCTCTAAAATAATGGAGTCTATTATTAACAGTCAGCTCATGCGGTATCTTGAGGATCACCAGCTGATTACGGTTTCCGTCGGGGTCGCTTTGGCTGGTGATCTTCTAGGTTACCTAACTCATAAATGGACGGAGGCAGAAGAGTCCAAGGGGGGAGGCATTGGCCGCTAGTTTGGACATAGCGAAGGCCTTCGATCGAGTTTGGCACAAAGCGCTTCTTACGAACCTTCCTTCCTATGGGCTTCCCGAGTAATTGTGCAATTGGATCACCAGTTTTCTTGCAGATCGGAGCATCAATGTTGTAGTAGACGGTACTGCTCCGTTTACAAGCCCATTAGCGCTAGTGTTGCACAAGGCTGCGTGCTATCACCAACGCTGTTTCTTCTGCATTTCAATTATATGTTGCAAACCGGTTACATTCATTGCTATGCGGACGACGGTACTGGTGATGCTTTATACACCGGTCGTGTCAATATTTTTCGGGAACAGCCGCCGAGTACCGGGACAAACTTGTGTCTGAAGTCAAGACTTTGTTGAACAAAGTCTCGGATTGGGGGCGACTAAATCTAGTCCAGTTCAATCCCCAGAAGACAAGTTTGCGCGTTTAACGCTAAAAAGAACCCCTTCTTTGTATCTCCTCAGTTTCAAGGCACTCCCCTTGTTGCCTCAGCTAGTATCGGAATCCTAGGCATCGACATATCCAGCGACGCGACGTGCAGTTTCGTAGTCACTTGGAAGAGAAGGCCAAATTGGCTTCTAAAAAGCTTGGCGTGCTCAGCAGAGCGGGACAGTATTTTTGCTGGCACACCGCCTGCAACTTTATAAGGCGCAGGTTGGGCCGCACATGGAATACTGTTCCCATCTCTGGGCTGGGGTTCCCCATTGCCAGCTTCTTCCATTTGATCGCATCCAGCGCAGAGTCGTTCGAATTGTAGGCGGCCGAGCTCTTTCCGATCGACTTGACTCACTGGTACTGCGAAGAGACGCATTTACCACGGGGAGTGCTCTGAGGAATTGTTCGAACTAATTCCAGCCGCACAATTTCACCATAGCACATCGCGACAAACTCGAGATACCATACATACAATCAGGATGATCGGTGGTCCACCACTGTGCGATTTAAAAAAAGTTTTCTTCCTCACACAACTTTCGTGTGGAATCGACCACCACCAAAGATTTTTCCAGACCGATACGACTTAGGGACCTTCAAGAAAAGAGCGTACTCCTTTTTAAAAGGCCGGCAACGCATCTGCAATTCCCCTGGTGTTGCAGTTGTTCATGGGCTCCGTTAATCACTTACCATCAGGTGAGCTGTATGCTCATTTGACCCCTCCTATAAAAAAAGCCTATCAAACTCTGGTTACAGGGAGACTGAAATATTCGACATACTGATATAGTTGACGCGGACTACCTTCGACTTAAAAATATTAGTTTTGCGTCTAATCTACGCAGAACGCGCTTACTGTATCTTGAAGTCTTGTAGAATGCTTGGATTTGGATTTAGTCTTATTCATTATAGTGACCCAAGCCGATAATAGCACCCAGTCATCTTTTGTGTAAAAATTATGTTTTTTTTTTAAATTGCAAGAGCCTCACGAATCGTCCTTGGAAGGAATCGGTGTTCCTTAGCGAAGATTTGTAGTTAATCAAGCCTGATATAATTGTGGGGACGATCCAATTAGTTTTATTTATTGAGTAGTATCCGCGTAAATTTGTCATTTTAAAATAAGGTTTCTTAATGATTTATTTACTATATTTTTATAGAAAATTGGTGACAAACGAGCACACAGTCCACCTGATGGTAAGTGGATGCAGTGGCCCATAGACATCTAGATCTGTCGTCAATTAAGAATCAAAATGTAGATGCATTGTTATCCTTAATTACTAAGATGAAATGCCTCATTTCCAGTAACAAGGGTCTCCGGTTCTCTACACTCGCCACACGATACATAGCAATATTAAGCTGCTATTTTTGCTGGTATTCTGTGAGAGCGTGGTCTTTCACCGTTCGAGCCGACCCATTTGTGCCACAACCATAATATACTTGTAGCATGGCTCTCCCAAGTTTATAACTAGGGAGAAAATCCAGTATTTCGAATTATCGGACGATACCTCGTCCGAAATTGTGAGACATAACATTCTGAATTGGAGATGTAAATTATATGGGAATATAATCCTTCTTTTTCACTTCTACAGATACTGACTATAGATAGACATTTTAGAATTAACATAATTTTCTTCTTTGATCAACTTGGATTATAAAATAAATTATCGAACATAATGTTTTATTTATAAAACGATCTTTTCAGGCCCTCAAATACTGGCGTTTTAGGACTCTGCTTTTGCCACTGACTAATCCAGCAACCAAACAAATATTAGAAGACGAAAAAACGCATTGTGACATTTATCCTACACCGACACGTCAGGATTTGGACCAACTCACCGATGGTTTTCTTAAAATGACCGAACTATACTTCAATAAGGTCAAAAAGACCTAATAAGCAGAGGGTAAGGAAGTCTTCACGAAGTCAGTATATAAATTATACAACATAATCGTAATATAAATATGTTTTCAATATTGATATTAGTGAATATTACCTACTACATTTCATTGGTTTTATTAAAAGCTACTTAAGCATAGACAAATCGAAATTAGTAGCAGTAAACTCATAAACGTTTACATAATAGAAACACAGGCTTACACTTAGCACATATATAAAGCTATATTTTTAATTACATTTATAACTATGACTAAATGGTAAAGCCCCAACATGAGCAAATTATTTAAACTAAAAAACGCTCTGCCTGTGCTTTGAGTTAATGGTATTACAAGTTTAAAAGTATGAATATAAATAATAATGTATACAGGGGTATTTTTTCAAAGAGTAGCCAAATTTTATATTTAAGTTCAAAATAATGATATTCCGATATTACATTTTTTGAAAATGCGAGTAAATAAGGCTTCTACTTTTGTTTGAAATTATCTTAAATCGAATGTGATTTATGGGCAACAACTACACGTAAACGTTCCTGTGTGTGTGATTGAATTCACGTTATCGTTTCTCAAGTTTTGCCTACTATTTACTTTCTTGGTGACACGCTTACTACTAATGCATCAGTTAATAACTACATGACGCGAACTATGTTTCTAATTTTCTCTTCATACTTTTAACGAGCTTGGGATCGTCGTAATAAATAAAATTTAAATAAATATTTTTGCTCATCAACGAATTAAATGACGACTGTCATTATTATCAGGCATATGTCAGGCAGGAGATGGGCAGCAGCATCTTCCTGATAACAGCAACTGTACGACAAAAAAAAAACAGCGGTTGCCAACCCGCTCGCCAAGCGTGGCAACTATGGCAATATACCCCCCATGAACAATTACACAAATATACGGCCCCCAGTCCCCGGCGGCCCCGCTATTCCTCGCTACGGTGGCGACTATGGTAACGGCGGGGCAGGGGGTGCTAAGAATCTCCGGTGGAGGTTCGGTTGCCACCTACGACGACTCGACCTGGCAACATTTAACGCACGCACACTGAGGACTGACGAGAAGATCCTGGAGCTGGAAGAAGAGATAGACAAGTTGCATTGGAGTATTATAGGATTATCCGAGGTCCGAAGAGAGGGGGAGGACACGGTGATTCTCGAATCCGGCAACTTGTTCTATCACCGGGAGGGCGACCATCTGTCCCAAGGAGGTGTCGGATTTATCGTTCACAAGTCTCTCGTCAACAACGTTGTAAAGATTGGGAGTGTGTCGACGAGGGTCGCGTACCTGATACTCAGAATCACCAAACGGTATTCGCTGAAGGTCATACAAGTTTACGCACCAACCTCGGCACATTCCGATGAGGAGGTGGAGGAAACCTATCCAACTGCAGAGAGGTGAGACGTTATATCCCCGAAACTCTTCACCGCTGCTTTGGAAGACGTTTTCAAGCTACTGGACTGGAAAGGATACGGTATTAACATCAATGGCGAGTACATCACTCACCTTCGATTTGCCGACGATATAGTCCTTATGGCAGAATCGCTGGAGGACCTTAGCTCAGTGACCTCAATGGTGTCTCCCAACGGATAGGTCTTAAGATGAACATGGACAAAACAAAGATCATGTTTAATTTCCATGTCACACCTATGCCGGTAGTTGTTGGGAGCACTATGCTCGAAGTTGTTGACGAGTACGTTTACATGGGACAAATAGTCCGACTAGGTAAGTCCAACTTCGACCGAGAGGTCAATCGACGGATTCAACTCGGCTGGGCAGCGTTCGGGAAATTACGACGCATCTTCTCGTCAGGTATACCTCAATCTCTGAAAACTAAAGTGCGTAAACTAAAAATAACCAGTGCGTGTTGCCAGTGATGACTTACGGATCTGAGACGTGTTTCTTCACCGCTGGCCGTATGAGGACGCTCAAGGTCGCTCAGCGAGCTATGGAGAGGGCTATGTTCGGAGTTTCACTGCGTGATAGATTCAGAAATGAGGATATCCGCAGTAAAACCAGAGTGACCGACATAGCCCAACGGATTAGTAAGCTGAAGTGGCAATGGGCCTGCCATATAGCTCGAAGAACCGATAACCGATGGGGAAGAAAGGTTCTCGAGTGGCAGCCTCGTACCGGTAGGCGTAGTGTAGGGCGACCCCCCACTAGATGGAGTGACGACCTGGTAAGATATGCAGGAAGTCGATGGATGCAGGTGGCTCAGGACCGTGCTTTGTGGCATTACTTGGGGGAGGCCTATTTTCAGCAGTGGACTTGTGAAGGGCTGTGATGATGATGATGATGATGTCATTATTATGGCGTATTTAAAAAATTGGAATAAACTATTTACAACCAAATTACGCAAGTATTCCGTTAAAATTGAATCAGTTTCTCTCGTGGGGATGTGAATAACAAATACCCCAATTATTAAATAACAGTTTATCCACAACGTAAATTCAATGTGACGGATCGGACTGAGAATGGGCGGTATCACGGCGTCGGATTTTCGGATCTACTGGAGAGGCGGAGTAAAACGGAGCCGGTTGCTTCAGTGCAGCCGAGGGCTTCCGAAGATTGCTGAACGGTCGAACAGTTAGGGCCACACTATACATAGACGAGCACGTTTTTTTTCAATAATTTTTCTACACTTATTACTTGTGCTTGAGCACTTTTAACTTTCGTGAATGCAGCAATAATTTTACTGTGGTCTTCATATTTTACAGCCTCATCGACGTGAATACAACTCTTTATTTCACCCCACAGATAAAAGTCTAACGTTTAACGTTCCAGCGAGTTCGCAGGCCATAGTATAGAGCCTCCGTGCGTAATCCACCTATCTTCAAATTCTCTGTTTTAGTTAGTGCGTTATCGCTCACTGCACTCGAATAGTTTGATTGGTTGTCAATTGTTCTTCGATTAGGTACATTAATTTCTTGCCGCGGTAAAGACGCCCTACGTAAACTTTCATTGCTTAAAATGTAATATCGCTTTCATCGTGTTTTATAGTATCCGCGGTTCGAAGGGAAGACGCATGACACCTTACCTTACCGAGCGACCCTTACGAATGTGTGAAAACCAGTTAAAACAATACATTACTTACCACGCATTCTGAATTTAAAAGTTATAAAAGACAATGGTAGAAATTTTTTAATTAATTTTTCTTTACCATTCTCCGCAAATTTGGCCGTACCTATATTGCAAAATAACCCTGTATATACATTACATTGAAAGTTATAGTATATTCATCTTGTATAGTTTACATTATGACACGTAGTTTGCATGATATTACACATTTTTGTTTAACACATAGTAGAGTTGCACTGCATGGTTTCGCACCTTGGCAAAATATAGACTTACCTTAATCAGTTGATTAATCAATTTAAATGCCATTAACTGATTTAACTTAATTAACTCAAACATGAAGTTGTGAATCATGCTACCACAGGAAGTCTATTTCGCATGTTTTATATATTTAAATAAATTACTTAATTATTCCGAAGAAAATAAAATTAATTAACTTGTAATTTTTGTTGGATGCTTGCATGTTTATTTACCTTTCTGTCCTTTTTTCAATTAATTGCGCGCCTGTGAGATTTTTAATTTCCTGTTTGGGTCCGTATGCACAATATTATATTAATACCGTATAATCGAATTGTACAAAGTATGTCGTTATTTATATTCGCCAACGGACTTTTATAATAGGCACGCTTTGCAATCGAAGCGGTGCGGGGTTCTGCAATATTTCAAACATACTGCCCCGAGTAGGGACTCTCAATAGCAGTGTTGCCGATTTACCCATTTTTTATTTAGTTCATTAATACCCGATTTTATTCTTTAAAATTTAACTTTTAATTTAGTGAATTCAGATAGAATACAGGGTGTTAGTGTAAACACCGTTATCCTTGAAACCAGTGGTTTGGTTTCACTTATAGTACGTAAATTCAAAATGAATAAAATAATTAGTAAAATATAAAAATAATAAAAAAATAAAATTTAAAATGTTTCTGTCCGACACCGTCCGTAAATTCATGGATACCCTATGCGCCGTGTGACGTAATCACTTTAAAGATCACCCCCCGCGCTAGCTACCTACACAATATTCCAATAATAACACAATAGGTACACATAATCTGTGATGTAACTTTCCTTCATACCTTCATCCTGGCTTAGGACAGGCAAAAATTGAGGAATTAAGGAAAAATTTAGATTTTACTTAAAAAAAATGTTATTTTTCATTGAATTTACGTTCTATAAGTGAAACCAAACCACTGGTTTCAAGGATAACGGTGTTTACACTAACATCCTGTATAAAAGGTGCTAGACTTTTTTAATAAATCTTTCTGTACCTTTAACGCCTAATAACATACATAAAGTAAATTTATAGAATATCCTTAAGAGTATCCATTTAAACGCCATAGCACAAAATTGTTTAAAAAATTTAATAGCAATAAGTGAAAAAAAATTTTTCTTCAAACTTGGTAAGACACGTCATTTTGTTTTGTTACGCGGATCTTAGCAAATTTTGAACATCTTTTTTGAAAATCTTAATTTTTAACATCTTTATATAATGAATATCCGTCAAGTAACGTCTGATTCTATTAATAACGGAAAATATAATTTGTAATATTTTATTTTTAATTTCTATACTTACTATTTTACTTAACGGGAAAAAATCGGGTATTCTGTTTAAACTCTCACTCACCTGATATTTCTGATACGGGTTTCGGTTATTGTCGCGTATTGTAATCGGCAACACTGCTGAATAGCGTCGTTGGGTGGTGAGCGGTGGGGAGGCGACGTAGTGGTGGGGCGGTCGTGCACTACAGGGCGTGGCGCTGTGCTGCAGATGGCGCTGGCGGGCGCGGCCGCGACGGACGCGGCACTCACGCGCCGCCGCCACTCCACCTCCATCCTCACGCGGAGCGCGCAGGTACACACGTACCACGTACCCACGTAGCGGCACCACTGCCACATCATGCGACATCAATCCACACCGTACCCCGCCACACCGTATCGCACTCAGCCCTCACTGTAAATGCACAGTCCGGTTTCTACGCTAAGGACGTTTAGGGGATAGAAAAATTAAAATGTTTACAATTTCTATCATATTATTTTTTTTTTAATTATAATAGTATATTAGTATAGTGCGGCGGTATGGGGAGATTAGCCAAATTGTATTTCTATAATCGATAACCCCAACAAAAAAACTATGAGAATGAAATATCTCAAGATCTAATCTTGGCTAACACCGCTGTTTTCAAATACCGTTCAATGTTCGAGTAAAACTTAAATAGTTTGTTTTGGGTCTGGTTCTCTCGTCTTAGGCCGGTATTAAGATACAATCTCGAGTTTGAACACAAACTTCACAATTTCAATTTTTTAATCTTGTATCTATGCTACATAAATTTTGACATTTATGAAGTTTGCGTTAAAACTTAAGATTGTCTCTGAATATCGCCATTAGTCTCCAATACTGTCGTTTATAGGCACAGATGGGGGTTGAAACGAGTTAGTGCCACTATTAACGCACATTTGTGGCACTATAATTACCCTTGGGCGGTTGATTCCGAAACTTGCTGGATGATATGCTTCTCCTGCCTAGGAGTCTATGTGGGTTCTTACCTTCCTTATCTGTCTTTGCCGTCAAACAGCAATGCGCTATTGCGTTCCGGTTGGTATGGTATAATTACAGAGCCTATGTAATTACAGACAGTAATGCATTTTGTCTTAATCTTCAGGAGTGACAATGCATATGTGGTCTTCTTTGTTAGAATTTTTTGCAAGTATTAATGAAATAATACGTGGTAGAGCCATGCTGCAATTATATTAATAGTATAGTTGTAGCACGAATGGGTCGGCTCGACCGGGGAAGGACCACGCTCTCACAGAATACCAGTGTCAAATAGTAGCTTAATGTTCCTGTGTTTCGTATGTTGAGTGTAGAGAACCGGAGACCCTTTTTCCTGGAAACAAGGCATTCCACCTAAGTCCTCACGGATGACAACGCATCTGCATTTTGATTCGTAGTCGAGGATAGATGTAGATGTCTATGAGTCACAGCAACAACTTACCACCAGGTGGAATGTGTGCTCGTTTGTCATTCTATTCTATAAAAAAAAACTACTTATCATAAGGTGGGTTATTTGCTCGTTCTTCAATTAAATAACAAAAAAAAATTTATGCGAAGATAGTCGCCGTTGTCGAAAAGGAATATCATTGCACGGATTTAATAGTAATGTCCATTCATACTTTCTATATCGTTTTGAGATCTATAACCGATACAAACTTTCCGTGAGTACTATTTAAACAAATTGAAAACTACTACCTAATTCTTTTTACAACTTACGGCCAGGGCTTAGTCCGATATGGTGGGCAAGGTTACTTGTGCGTAAATATATTAAGCGCCTTAGAAATTCGCTCAATGCATTGTTGAGCTAAGTTGTTCCTTTGTATCATTACCTTTACTTTAACAGTTGACATATACAATGATATTTAAGACCCCATGTTTTACAAAGTAACAGAAATGTTTTTTATGATATTTTCTAACTGATGTATGCGTTATTTCTTAAAGTAACCAAAGACGTAGCGATTGAAAATCGGCCGTCTATTTCGTTATTGGTTGCGTTGCATTACCTTGGACAAAGCATACACATCTTCATAGTAAATTTTGTCATCAAAACATTGAAGTAATATGTACTTACGTACTAGAACAGCTATCTCAAACAAAAAATGTGCGCTACTCTATGTTCGCGCGGTTGTTTTTTTTATCATAGAATAAACATAGGTAGAATGATCCGTAGGTAACAGTAGATTGTATTGTTAAATAGGTAAATTATATCGAGAACAATATTTAAATTTTGTCATTTATTTTGTATATTATATTTGACATGATATTATATTACAATTACATTTTAATGTTATTTTTATCTGAATATTTTAAAAGGTATCTAAGTCAAATATAAAAAACATACAATTGTATGTTTAACAAAACTGATTAACACACAATTTAAATTCAAATATATTTATTTAAATTAGAATAAAAGTCGTTCATAAATGCTGAGCACGCGAGAGTTAAAAATGGACGAATTTATTCCACTTTGACTTTGATGTGGAAACCTAAAAATAAAATAAAAGAATAATAAGCAGATTTAAACATAAAAAATTTAGCCAATTATAATAACTTGTAAATGTTTCTACAAAAAAATGTGTATAATAATATATTCGTCCTATACTTAATTACCCGAAGAAATGTCGCATCTGAACATATTAATTTCATAATCTATATTCCCTGACACGAGATGGCGTCTTAGGAATAATTTGTTTTATTATTAATACATAATACTTTTTTATTGATTAAGTATCTTATTAACCGATGAAAAGTAATTCCTTGGTTTTTACTGATATTTCTTGAATTATTTGTGCAATATCTAAGTACACACGACGGCATATTTTTATCAAGAGATTTTTTTAAAATCAACACAACACGTGACAACTCTATAAGCGCCTAGCGAGTGACTGATTAAAGTGCAGTGTGTGCAACGCAGTTGAGTGGAACACTATAGCTGAATGCAGTGTCGCCTCTAGTACGTAGTACATAATAGCTCAATGCATCAAAATTAGAAATTATTTTCATCTTGGTTTAAAAAACGCATATAATATATTGAAAATAAAATCCTTACTGGAGTTTTTAATGTGTTAATAATTCGTTAATAATGTAAATAAATTAAAAAATAATAATTTGTTGGTGTAGAGTTTCTACTCTTATTATGTATTATATTTTGTTCTGAAAATCAAGTCCCACTGTAGATTTTTTTGAAATTCATTTTGTGTATTTTATTAATCTTTCAAGTAGACATTAAATACAAATTTTAAAACCGTAGTTTAAGATATCGCCGTAGTTTAAAACACCCTCATGCTTGCAATAAACATGTTCTGTTTTACTTACCTATTTCGGCGTATTTTGTGATATTGCAAAGTTGTTTTTTATCTTAGTGTGTATGTATTTTTTGTTATTTAATGAATTAACGAACGCTGTCCAGCCGAGATCTGTCGATTGACTTCTCGGTTGGGCGAGTTGAGTCGAGTTGTGCTACAGCCCATACTTACCATTAGGTGGACTGTACTCGTTTGTCACCGTTGTTCTATAAAATATAAATAAAATATTGTATACATATCTGTGACACAGACGTAACGCATGATCTTTAAAATTTGGCTTATCGAAAGGTATATTATTTCTGCCCTTTTTGACGACCCTTTTCATTATTAAAAATCGTTAAATTAGTAAAAAAAATTGTGGGTCACTCATGGACAAAAAACTAACCTATCTCTCAAGTTGGACCGAACTGCACATGGTGTGCAAATTTGATTAAAATCGGTTAAGTAGCTTAGGAGTCCATTGCGGACAAACAACGTGACACGTAATTTTTATATATTAAGATATTATATATTAGCATTGAGCGACGGTATATTATGTAACGGAAGTATATTATATTATTTACTAGCGATCCGCCCCGGCTTTGCACGGGTGATTTCTGGATCTCGAAAACAGCGCCACTTACCGGGTGCAAAAAACTAAATCTAAAGCATCTAGGAACCCATTCAAGCACACCCAAAATATTTCATCAAAATCTGCCGGACCGTTTTGTGTTTTATTGAGACTAACGGATAACAATTGATTTTATATATACAAATAGTATGTTAATATTATTTTTTGAACTTTAAAACAAATATGTTATATATGTAAAAGTTATCTACTCTGCTAATATGTAGTGCTTATATAAAAGTTAAAGTAAAAAAAAAACTCTACTTCGTCCGCGTTTATCGAATCCTAAATCTTTTTCTAAAACAAAAGTAGCCTCAATTACTAGTTAGAACATTAGCTATCTGCCAATAAAAGTATCAAAATAGATCCAGTCATTTCGGGGACTAGCCGGAACAAACATACTGACAGACTTTTGTTATAAGTACCGCACATTGTTATAAGTTTGCATATTGTTACTATTTGTTGAATATTGTATATTGTTGTATTAATTAAATCTTATGTTATGATTCATTTGCTTCTGAATGATAATCACGGTCTATAATATTTTTAGGCTTTATCTAGGTCCAGTCTTAGCCCTATAGATATTGATGTTCTTAATCTTATAAATGATGAGCTATTTTTGGCATAATTTAGCTTAATTAATTCAACTTGAGCTAAATAAAGTTAATTTGCGTATACGGCTCCGAAAATTTAATATACGACCTTACAGCGCTTGTATTAGAACTAACCAAAATCTAAACCGTATTTCAAATAACTACTACAGACTATTTTTAACCATATTTTTCACACTTGCAAGTGCTCCCTGGAAGTAGCACTCATTTGAATTACTACTCTCATAGGAGAACCGCTAATCAAACTACCATCAATGCTAAATCATTTCTCTTTGTTGCCATGCGTACATATTGGCACTGCTTGTAATTGTTATTATGCAAAATGCACGGATCGCACTTTGTACTTTGTAATTGTTTGCTGGCTTCTTTTATTAATTGAGTATCCCTTTATTTGAGATAGGTGCGATGTAGATTTTTGATATACCGACACAGATGTATCTTTGCTTTGGTTGTATAATGAAAGTAGACTTTGTCTCAAGTGGTTTAGTGAGCTATCTCGAATAAGGCCAAAGTGCAGATGCGTCGTTTTGTCATTGAGATTTGTTAACGTGCGTGTTGTGTGTGGTGTAGCAGGGCGGTGTGTCGAGCTCTCCGTTCAGAGAGCGCGTGGGCAGCACTCGTCTGCCGGACCGTCCACGGCTCCGGATCGAAGCTATGTCAGTATCCACACACGTGACATGTAATTGTTTCACGCTTCTAATATCGATTGCCCAAGTTCATCGAATTAACAAATAGAAATCGCACGTACATGTCTCACACTAAACGCATTCCTGCAATTTCAGCCAGATCTAAATCTAAAATTCTAAATTGGTACAGGTTATTATTGACTTGTGCATTCGATACTTTGTGTCGATTACCAGACCACAAATGGCCCGTAGTAGTGATTTTTTACGTGTATAATTCAACAAATTTATTACGTAGTATTCGGTATACTCTTTCGTGTCGCATTTTGCTGTTGAATTGTACACGTACAAGATCCTTTCACACTGTTTGGCATTTGTCCTTATGTGGTATTGTGCTTGGTGATTGGTTTTCAGTTTTCGCTTTTGCGATATCTTTTCTTAAATTTCTTCATACACCTTCATTCCTTTCTATTTGAGCTCTTAAACCTTTAATTCGTTTTGTTAATAAGAAAAAACAAATTAAAAAAAAAAATATATTGTGTAAAAGTGCAATATTAGTGCCAATATAATATTTTAAGTCAAATTCTGGTTATAATAGCGAATAATTTTTAATTTTTATAAGTTTGTATTGTGATACTGGCAGTAATAGTAAATTTTTTGCATCTTTATTACGTTAAGTTAGCAACTTTAAAAGACTTGATTATAGCAACTACAAAATAATATAAAAGCGTCACAGCATCGAATGAAATAGTTAAAGTTTTTATTTTAATTTACTTATTAAAAAATCTATTATTTATTACACGCTTTGTTGATATTGCCCTCCCCTTTGAATGAACTTTTCCTTACAATCTATAATACATAGACGCAACCGTATTTATATTTTAATTTTGCTTTCCTCATGTTACAGATTTTCTCAGCTCTTTTGCCAAGATATTCATTTCTACTATATGCTATAATTTTCTATCCGTACGCTTAAGCTTATCCTATCGTTTGCTTGTTTTCTTATCCTTTTCGAACGTTTCATTGCAGCAATTATCACCTACTAAGTCACTAAACACTAGTCAATGCAACAAGTAAGTATGTTACTTGCTTTTACATCTCAACAAAATATTAATGGGGTTCGCGTATTTATAAAAACGTAATAAAAACATGTCAGTAGGCTATATTGTATCCAGAAAATGTATTCGTGTTTCTTTATAAAGCAGTGCAGTTGTAGTTTTAAAAATATATTGGGTTTAAAAAAAATCAGATTAAAAAGAGATTTATTTGCTCAGCAACATCGGCATGTATAAAATGCTGTCCCAAATCCCTACCTTTAAAATAAAATAATGTGTTAATATTTTCTAGAAACATTGACCCTATTAATTATATTAGATATAGAAGTTATATTTCATTGATATAAAATGTAACTTCATTATCCTTTATAATATTTTTGTACTTGCGTTATAAAATATCTTTAAATGGCAAAAATGTCTTTTTATTGACAATCGAGTTTTATATTAAAGTCATATACGCGAACCCTAAAACCCTTTTTGTTGTGCCTGATGCATGTATAAATTCTTTGATCGCTTCCATACTTTTAGATTCTCATTTTATCCAAACTATTTCTTTGTCATTTTCGCTTTGATGGATTTTGTCTTAATCGCTTGAGCATAAAACAATCCATGTTTGTATCATTGAATATATTTCTTTTCTAATGCCTAATAATGATACAGTGCGTATAATTTTAGGGCTGCAGCTAAAACTGTCCTTGAAAGGACGCAATCGCAAACTGGTGACACTGAAGATACATACGATGATGGGTGAGCAGCAGATATAAAATATTTCATAATAAGTTTAATTCATTTTTTTAATATAAGAAGGGGCAAAAGAGCATATTGCTCGCTATCGCAAATGCGTTGCCGGCTTATTAAAAAAGAGCAGCCTATTTTCTTGAAGGTCCCTAAGTTGTATTGTTCCGGAAAATCGCTGGTAGTAATCGGTTCCACGAGGAAGTTGTGCGAGGAAGAAAACTTCTAGTTAATCGCACAGTTGTGTACCACCAATCACGATGCATCACCAATTATCCCGATGGTATAACTGATATCGCGAGTTTTGTCGTGATGTGCGATGTTGAATTTTAGCTGCTGGAATTAGTCTGAACAATTCCTTTGAGCACTCTCTGTGGTAGACGCAATAGAATATGCAAAAATCTGCAACATCCCTTAGCAGCGCCCGTGAGTCAAGTCGATCACGGAGAACTCGGTCGTCGATGAATCGAACCGCCCTTCGCTGGATGCGATCAAGTGGAATAAGCTGGCAGTGGGGTACCAAAGATGAGAACAGTATTCCATGTAAGGCCGAACTTGCGCCTTCCAAGTGACCGCGGAAATGAACGTCAACGATATGTAGACGCCGAGGATTCTAATGATAGCTGAGGCAACGAGAGGAGTGTCTTAAAATTGAAAAGATACGACAAATGGTTTCTTTTTGGGGAATTAAACAGGACTAGATTTAGTCGCCCCCAGTCCGACTAAATCTAGTTTGTACAACCAAAACTCGACTTCGGACAGAAGTTTATTCCGGTATCGATCACCCAGTTAAGTTTTTGCGTTGCTACCCCTGAGAACTACAATGGAATATCTCGTATCCAGTAAAAAGGGTCTCCGGTTCTCTACACTCACCATACGAAACAGCATCATTAAGCGAAATGAATTTCATTTTAATTACACAACTTACTATTTCATTGTAATTTTACTAGTTGTTCCCAGAATAGAGGTTTTTCCGAACCAGTGGCAAAGTGAAAAATGGCGTTCAATAAGTATTAATTATATGTCATTTATATAGAGCCGTGGTAGCTCAGACGGTTAACGCTCGCTGTAATATAACAGAACGCGAGTAACCCGGGTTCGATCCCCGCCGACACCAATGAAATTGTTAATTGCAATTTTAAGTGCCGATTTACCACGTGCTCGGCGGTGAAGGAAAACATCGTGAGGAAACCTGCATTTCTGAGGAATAAGAAAAACAATATTTCGAAGACATGTGAAGTTCGCCAACACACATTGGGGCTGCGCGGCGGACACTTCCCAGCCCTAGAACCCTCTCATAAATGAGAGGAGGCCTGTGCCCAACAGTGGGACGTATATAGGCTGTAACTTTACTTACTTTACTTTTATATTGAATAAAAATTATTCCGTTTTATTCTAATCTAAATGTATTATTTTGCAGAGTAATAGAGCCTAAGTTAAAAGCAAACTCTAGTCTGTCGGAAATAATAGAGCGTATGCGACATCCAACGTTAGGCGTGGGTTTTCTACAGCAGACCGTGAGTCTGCCTTCTCAGGCCTTCGTCTCAATATACGCAATACACTGGCTACAGGCCAACATGGAATCAATGACATACGAGAAGGCTACCGCTATTATGGATGTATGTATGAATTAATAATTGTTAAAAAGATTTTTCATTTCTTAGTTTGAAGTAAGACCGGCCCGTACATACAGTTTACTGCTTTTCTTGTTGACTTCACATATCCCGAAAGGTTTCTTCACGGCCTATAAGCTATCCACGGCTCAAACAATTGTGGTATTATTAGAATACCGCGTAAATAATATTTAAACTTTCTAAAATACTGATTTGAACATTCTATAATAAAATTTTTAAACAACCTACCTTCACCTAGTCATAAATGTTAAAAAACTGCTATTTTTTACAATTAAGAATTATTTCCAGAAAATGCTACAAGAGAAAATGATTTGTCACGCGTCGGGCGACACAACGAAACGCTTCGTAGTTGGATATTACATGTACCATATTCTGCCGCAGAAAAAGGACAAAGGTATTTAAAGAACTTTTAGTTAGGAATAAAGGTGACAAACTAGCACACAGCTCACCTGATAGTATGTGGATGCTGAACTTATAAAATGCAGGTAAATAATTTTTACCATAATAACATTTAGAATACTAGATGTATTAAATAGTTTATTCGTGACACGCTCCTGCTCGCACGTGCACGCTCATGTGATGTTTTTATTTTATTTTGTCCTGTATAATATAATTATAATGAGTTTATTATGATATAAAATTAAAAGTGAAAAACGTGTGAATGCGATTCTGTTTGCCTTCACTATGACTTACTATTTGGTGTCTGATAGAAAATTATTTTTTATCAGACACCGAATTTAAAAAACTACAGACAAAGAAAATTTCGTCAGATATTGAAAACAAAATTTAGTGTCAAATTAAATGGGTCTGGAAGTGATATCATATCTCATATCTTCACAAGATATACGAGACGAATATGTTCTATAACGTATAAATATTAACACACTGACATCCCTATAAAAACAGTAGAATTGGACACATCGGCAAAACGTGAATATATAACGTATACGTGGTAGAGCCATGCTGCAGCTATAGAACGCTGCAGCAGAAGGATAGAAGGATTCGGCATCAGCATGAAATAGCATAATGCTGCTGGGTTCGTATGGTAAGTGACGAAATGCAGAGAGCCTTTTTATCGGTAGTGAGGCATTCTATCTTAGTCCTTAGAGGTAACAACGATCTGCATTTTAGATCTTAATCTAGGATAGATGAGGGTGTCCATAGACTACGGCATTCACTTAACATTAGGTGTTATGTGTGCTCGTTTGTAACCCTTACGTAAGTAAAAAAAGCGAATATATTTTAAACCACTTCCAAATGGCAATAAAAATGTAATAACATTTTTACGATAGTTTTTCTTTATTACAGTTTTTATTGACCAGTTTATTGTTTATTACCAACAGAATCAACGGAGTACGTTAAGCCACTAGGTGACTTGCAGAGCTTCGAGAACGAGTGGATGGAGGTGGAGGTGTTGGGGCCGCGGTCACCACTGCTGGCGCCGGCGCCGGGCGGCCGAGACATCGCGGGCGCGCCCGCCGCGGCCGCTGAGGCGCCCGGCGCGCCCGCCTTCCTATGCCACAACATCGACCCGCGCTACATGGACCACGGCGCCGATAGCGACAGTGAGCACACAAATACATAACAAAATAATTTAAATAATTGCCTATAGTCCACAAAATCTGAGAAATACATTTTGACAGCTCTCAGACTCGTTGCATCAAGCATGCCAACCAAAAAGTGGGAACGTACAATATTCGATTGTTAAAAAAATCGATATCGATTATTTAGAGTTGGTAATCATTTACTTTTTTAAATACTACATTTATAAATTAAAACAAAAGATTTATCAGTTTCTTCGTATTGGTTGTTACTGCTTATTTCTAGAGGCACAGTTATAAAAATTTAAGATTGAAACTAGATTAAAAATAAATTTATTCAATCACTTTCGGTACAACTAGTTGAGTTGTCGTTGTTTAGATTAATTATTATTTGATTTTCAATAATGCAGTCAAAATTAATGTCTCTTTCAAAGTCATCCATAATCTTTTTTTGTTTTTTTTTCTACCATTTTTGCCCAATCATCCTTTGTGACATGGGCACATGCTTCAACGAATGTAGAAGAAACAGTCCAAAAAGTTTAAACCGAGTCACAAAATAAGAAGACAAACACAAAATCACAAAATTACGCACAGTAAGCTCCCAAAAAGGCGGAGATTGAAATTACATAATGGTTTTTTCAGGGCGGCCTTGTTTATGAGTTTATTTGCCTACACATTTACGTTGACAAAGTAAAAAAATGAACTTGTTTTATTCATGATTCGTGTAATTTAAGGAATTTTAAAAATAAAAATTTAACTATACAAATAAAACTGATTATTTGAATATTTAACCGATTATTTGAATATTTTTATCGATTATTCGTATAACAATGAATATTAATCATCCAAACACCACAGTAAGGTACCTAGCATATCATTACAGTACATATCATTGAAACGACGTCAAGTAAAAAAGTTGATACTGTAATATAGTGTTTTTTTTTAATATTTTGCTTTGTTTGAAATATTCGAATTTAAATTAGTCATAAAAACTATACACATTGTAATGAAATGTAGATAACTTCATAATTCTTCGGATTTACGTAAAAGGTTATTTTACATCGTGTGAGTACGCTTGTGCAAAGTTATTGCGGAATGAATAATGTGAAACGTCAAAAGGTATTTCTTAGATTTGGTTGACTATAATTAACACCAATATTAAGCCGGCCAAATGTCTTAAGGTGGGTCTACGGTAAACTAGCCGAGCACGAGCGCAGCATGAGTCGAGCACAATTTCGTGTAGTGAGGACCGACTTACAAGCCTCGAACGAGCGCGCTTCGAGCGTTTGGTTCGTGCTCGACTGTGCTCCGCCTATTGTTTGTTTTTTGACGAACTCAAAGGGATTTGCATCGATTTGCATGTTGTAGGCTCGTTCTACGTCCACACTTAAAACAAGAGTAGAGCGGCTCAGCTTGTGCTCAGCTCGTGCTTGGCTCCTCTAGCGTACCTTTATATCTGCGGCAAATTGCCTAAATGTTAAAACTTTAAATTAAATGTCAAACCCAAACCATACACGTCCGCGTGACATGCACATGCACTTATAACTACGACCTCGTATTTGAACTCGACTAGACGTGTGACGCTGGAAGTGTCTGTGATGCTTCGGTTTCAATATGTGATAGGTATTAGGTACTAATTTGTAAAATTTAATGTGTAGTTATCACCTTAATAACATACTAAAGTAAAACCCAGCTCTAACTTTTTTATATAAATAAGAATGGATACGGGCATACCGAAGGTAACAAAATTTTTTTATTCAACTCAACCTATTTTTACTAACTATATATTTCTAAATTTATTTTATAAATTAAGATTGATTTAACGATATAATACATTAAGAACTCTTAAAAGCAAATCTGCGACGTTAATTCTACAACTACAAACATTTTCCTTTGTTTTCTCCCTAGATAATGGACACTAGAGCAAATATTATAAAATATATTTGAAATAGAAATAGAAATAGAAACTTTTTTATTCAATGTAGATTATAAAAATACTTATTGAAGGTCACTTTTTTAATTTACCACTGGTTCGCAAAAAGAAACCTCTGTCCTGGGAAGAACCAGCAAGAAACCCAGCGGGACTATTTTTTTTAATAATAGCTTACAATCATGTTTACAATCAACAACACAAGACAAATTAGAAATAGCTTGGTAGCGATCACCCTTCCCAGGGGTTATTATCATCTATATATTCATTAATATTATAATAACCCTTTTTGTACAAACTTAGTTTAATAACATTTTTGAACTTTGTGTATGACAAATTTTGTATATTTTCTGGGATTTTGTTGTAAAAGCGTATACATCGCCCCAAGAATGAATTACTGACTCGGTGAAGTCGAGTAACTGGTACTACCAGCTTGGGTCTGTTCCTAGTATTTACAGAATGAATATCACTTATTTTCGCAAAACTACTTTTATTTTTGTGTACGTACATTACATTTTCATAAATGTATTGAGAGGCCAAAGTTAATATATTAATTTCTTTAAATTTTTGTCTCAGTGACTCTTTTGGTTTTAAATTATATATTGCTCTAATGGCCCTCTTCTGTAAAATAAATATAATTTCAGTGTCAGTCGCGTGTCCCCATAGCAAAATACCATACGACATAATGCTATGGAAATAACTGAAGTAAACTATTCTAGCTGTTTCAACACTGGTAAGAGTTCTAATCTTTTTTTACAGCATATGCTGCAGAACCAAGTCTGCTAGCTAGTTTTGATATATGGGGGAGCCATTGAAGCTTTGCGTCCAGTGTGATTCCAAGAAAAATGGTGGTATCAACAAGACTCAGTTCCTCCCCATTTAAAATTACATTAGTATTGACATGTTTAACATTAGGAGTTACGAATTTCATACATTTAGTTTTAGTTCCATTCAAATGCAAATTATTAACATTAAACCAATTGAATAACTTAGCTATAGCATTATTTACTTCGTCGTAATTTAATAACTGTCTTTTTAATTTGAAAATTAATGAAGTATCATCAGTAAATAATACTATATCATGGTTATCCCCTACTATGTAAGGTAAGTCATTAATATATACAAGAAACAGAAAGGGGCCAAGAATTGAGCCCTGAGGCACGCCCATTTGTACAATCGACCCGGAAGAACTCATACTATTAATAACAACTTTTTGTGTTCTGTCACTTAAATATGAAATAATTAATTTAAGAGCATCATTTCTTACACCGTAGTGTTGAAGTTTCCTGATTAATGTTTCATGGTGAACACAATCAAAGGCCTTGGGTAGGTCACAGAACAAACCCAAAGCATCCTGTGAATTCTCCCATGCATTAAATATATATTTAATCAGCTCAACACCAGCATCAGTTGTCGAGCGACCCCTTGTGAAACCAAATTGATTTTTATGAAGTAATTTATTTACATTAAAAAAAAATTAACAATTGATCAAGAATAATTTTTTCAAAAATTTTACTAAGTGTTGGCAGTACAGAAATAGGTCTAAAATTAGCGGGGTCCAATGTACTACCAGATTTAAATAAAGGTATTACTTTACTATGCTTCATTAAATCAGGAAACACACCAGATTTGATACTACTATTAAAAATAATAGATAGTTGAGGTGCGATTGTATCTATTATAGACGCAATAACTTCAACAGAAATCCCCCACAGATCGGCGGTTCTCTTAATATCAATAGTCTTAAAATATTTTACAATATCTTTTGATGAAACTTTATGAAATGTAAAATTCTTTGTACACACATTTACATTTTGTTTAAGTAATGATTCGGCGACGGTAGGAGAAGAATTCAGTGACTTAGTGGTTTTATTATAATTACAACATAACCTATATGACATGCTATATTTTGTGTTTTCCATATGTATTGTTTCTACAAACTAGATCATTCTAATTGCTAAAATTGCCCAGTTTAGAACATCCAGCAAATAAGTTAAAAGTCAATAAAATAAAATAAAAATATATAGAACACAATAGTCATCGTTCGTGCAAAGCGAAGCAACTGTAGATTTGTAAAAACCTATTTAAATTCCTGGTGTTTATAATTCCGGGTATCCTCTTAACGCACATGCTGTAATTAAATGGTAAGAAAATAAAAAAATGGACAGGGGAGGGGCCAATATTTCGTGTGTTATTTCTGAACTGTATTATATATAACGCGACAACTTCGTAACTTTGATAGCACGATTTAGGTTTCGGTGTCTTTCGCTTGAGGTGCGATGACAGCGACGCCACAACCCACTCAAATATTGATGTTTACGATTTTCTTAAATTCTTGTTCGTTTTTTATCCAGTGCCACTGTACAAGAATACTCATCTAGACATTGATGTAAATAATAAAAGCGATCGCATCGAGTGGGGACACGCGCGTTATCAAGCTACGTTCCGACCCGACCAAGCCTATGAAATGTGCATACAGTGGGCAGTCGCCAGTGGAAATATCGTCGCTGAGCTGGTATTTAACACTTTCGCTTACCCTTTTAATTCTGTTTTTTATATTGAATAAGATTTTCATATTTGTACGTATTTCAATTTTTTACCTGCAATAAGCCAGTACGCGACCACAATCCCATCTGGTTGTGTGTGTGAAGTAGATGGTAATCGTAAACGTCACCACAGATTGTAAATCACAAATTCTTATTCGTTCTTGAATTTATGACACCCATATTGCAATCACGCGTAATAGACGAGGGCAAGTTATTCTAACTCTTTGCTGTACGCATTATGAAAGACACAAACCGTTTTTACGCAAACTGTTCAGTTCGAATGACCCGCCAAGCGTCTGATTGCTTGAAGGTGAAAAGGAGATGAGAAAGGAATAAAATTGTGTAATCCCTTCGCGCTCTTAATTCGGTAATAAGGTAATGTGTAGGGGCTATATACGTCCCACAGCTGGTCCGAGACCTCAGTACGTGTGCTGCTTAGGTGCACATTCACAGATTTTATAACAATATTTTTCTTCACTGCTGACCACGAGGTAAATAAATACTTAAAATAGGGAGTGTATTGTCTGCTATCTTAAGTAAAAAACGTCCACTCGCGTTCGAGGCTCTCGTGTAACTGACGCGGTGCGCTCGAGACAGTGAATTGTATGTATATGTATGTTTGTGTGTGTGGTAAATGATTAATAAATAAAACACAATAATATTTACTGTATATTATATAATATATATACAAACACTACCATTAGCTAATACATCTCCTGTTATATTAATTATAAGCAATTCATATCGTATAATATCCATTGTAGCTACGAGTTTGTTGCGAATAATGTCAACTCCTTTGTTATGCAAAAACAAAAATAAAAATAAAACAATCTACGGGGGAGGCCCATGTTCAGCCGTGAACTTTAGATAGGCTAAAATGATGAAGTTATTGAAATGTGTAGCCTTGTGCTAATTATTTTTCGTGTAATAGTGTTTAGTATTAAGTACATCTGACGTATTTACCTTCTTTTATTAATATTTTATATATTTATATACAGATCTTAGGATGGGCGCGTAAAGCACAAAACTGCCGTTTGCAAATGTTGCCTATTCCAGCAGACCCGCTCGCTCTACCATTTACTTTAAAATCGGATCCGTTGCGCGGTCCAATTTATATACCGCTAAATGAAGAGCCCCTGTTGAGAGGAAAGAATGCTTTATTTGAAGGTATGCTATCAAACCTGATTTAAATATGTTTTTATTACGGAACAGTTATTTTAAAACAGGATGATTGGAAGGAAATTGCAATTTTCCTAAAGGAATCGATTTTTTTCTGGCTCAGAAAATATTCCATAGTTTAGCGTTTAGCGGCATCTTATTATTGTAAAACTGTCTGTATATTATTTGTTAATAAATAAAAAAAACAATTGGAATGTTATCTAAATAGCTTTATTTAAATTTAATTCCCTATTTTTCCACATATTGTGGTACAATTTTTCTTTAAATTAAAATGGTGTTACTCTTGAGGTTTAGCCTATGTAATTGAAAATAAAAGAATCATTAAAAACGGTTCATAATTGGCATAGATGTAGGCAACATACTTATAAAAAAACGGTTACATTGAAAACCTGCTCATATCGACACAAACCGCAGGATTCCCAGAGGAAACGTGGCCGGAGCGGCTGTTCTTATTCCAAGAGGCTATTGCGGGCCGCTTCGGCTTCACCAAATGCACAGTGGAGAGCACGTCGCACGAGGGCGTGGGCGACCAGCTGTACGTGCACGTGACCGGCAACATGTTCGTGCTCATCCCCACCGCGGTCAAGTGCACTGAGCACCGCGCCCGCACCAGGCCGCCCAACAAACCGCTCAATGCCAGCAGGTGTGTGCCGCGCGTACGCGACACTGCAACGTGCGCGTCATGTTATTGTACGTTTTCGAAGCTTTAGAATCGTTGAGCTTTGAAAATCGGTGAAGCGACACAAAGAGACAATCATATACATTTATAGGATTTAGACTTCGGGAAAGTGATATAAAATACAGTATAGTGTTTTCTATCATCTTGGTCTCCTTTTTGTGCGGTGCTTTAAAAGGTGTTCAATATAACTTTAAACTGTTAAATAAACATTTAAAAAAAAATAAATAAATAAAATTAACCATATTAAAATTATCATACCCAATCCGTTCATATAAATCCACAATTTCATAACTTACCGATTTATATTAAATAAGACGTGTTTCGGTCATCTAGGGTATATTTTACATACCACCTTGAGAGTCAATTAATTATTGTTCGATAAAATGACTTTACCTATAAAATGAAATAGATTGCGCAATTTATTGTGTCACAAAGCAATTTTACTCGCAACTTTCTGTAGGTTTCGCTTCTTCCGAGAGTGAACTGCACACATATTTTTTTATATATGTATAGGTGGGTACTAAGCGAACGGCCATCTGATAGTAAATGATACTGTAGTGTTTGTTTTGATTGCCTCGTTGGTCCAGTGGTCGTAGGTTCAACTGCTGGTCGTGAAGTCCCGAGTCGGGCCGAAACCACTTAAGCCAAAAACACAAGGTTCCTCTGTCAAGAAACTCAGTAGTAGCCCCGAGTCAATATGTTAGCGATGTTTCACCCCTGTGTCTCAGAAAGCACGTAAAGCCATTGGGCCTACGCCATATCTCTCTTCGGTCGTGTTGGATTACCGTCCCATCGGACTTAGAGTGAGGTTATAGAGAGTGCACCTGTGCTTGCGAACACTTGCGCTCTCGATACTCTTGCTCTATAATCCTTTCTTATCCAGATTACTTGTCTCCGTCAAGACTTACCACCGTAATCAGATTTTTATCTGGAGGTCATTAACCAATACTGTTGTCCAGACACCCAAATTTATCAACAATTAAGAATCATAAAGTAGATGCGTTGTCACACCTGAAGAATAAGATGTTATTGATTTGTTACCAATGAAAAGGATCTTCGGTTCGGTTCGGTTTTGCTATTAACGCTATAATTAGGGAAAAACATATTTTTGAATAAGAAATAATTTTTATTAAAGAAAAATTTGGTCTCGATGTTCTCTTTGCTTTTCCAATGAATCGAGTTGTAATGTAATCAGTAAATTTGCAGTGGGAGATGCTTAATGATTTTTTTTTTTGAAAATGGTCACCTAATTTGACGCACTTAAAAAAACGCCTTTATGTATATGCCTATATTTGAAGCGGCAATAAGAAGATGAAGTACAATTTAATATGCATGTGGGGACTACATGACATACCGCTAAATGAATTGTTGTTCGTATCTTCAAAAATATCACCATAATACTTTTATATGGCGAGTGTAAAAAGCCGGAAAACCATTTTACTGGTAATCTTCATCTCAAGTGATAACAACTTATCTGCAGCGAGAAATTTTGTTCATACCATAATTGAAGTATTTCTTTTCAGATTGTCTTATCGGGCAGTTACTAGTTAGGTTATAATGGATCCTTCATTTAAATAGTTGTGAATTTTTATATTTTATTATTTTAACAGGTATCCAGTACACTCAGAAATAGCTCCTAGTCCACACAAAGGCTACATATCCTGGCATGTAAGCGGCAAAAATAAAGATGATTATGATAACAGTAGAAGAGTAAGTATAAATTTTTTTATTTGGTATAACTACGTGTATTGTTGCGCGCTATAATTAGCGTCTGGTATGTGGCGGTTGAATATTAGCGCCATCTGGTATCAAGTAGCAGAAATAGGAGCGTCAAGATCTGTCTAGAACTCTCCCACTAGCGCCATCTAGTATCGAACGAAGGAGCTAAGTTTTCTAGAAGGCTCGGCTAGGTGTACTAAAGTGATCAGTATGATTAAATTATTAGTGTCTTTTAAGTTTTAATTGGTGTTTAGTAATTAAAGTGTTAATTTTGGTAATTAAATCGGCAGTTTTTATTGTCACGAACCCTAAGCTACACAATAGCGGACTTGAATCATCATCAATGTATGTAAAAGCATTGAAGTAATATGTACTTACGTACTAGAACAGCTATCTCAAACAAAAAATGTGCGCTACTCTGTGTTCGCGCGGTTGTTTTTTTATCATAGAATAAACATAGGTAGAATGATCCGTAGGTAATAGTAGATTATATTGTTAAATAGGTAAATTATATCGAGAACAATATTTAAATTTTGTCATTTATTTTGTATATTATATTTGCTTATTTAATATAATATTACATAATATTATATCACAATTACATTTTAATAATATTTTTATCTGAATATTTTTAAAGGTATCTATGTCAAATATTTTTATATTAATATACTAAATGTATGTTTAACAAAACTTATTAACATAACATTTAAATTACAAATATATTTGTTTAAATTAGAATAAGAGTCGTTCATAAATGACACGTGAGAGTTAAAATGGACGAATTTATTCCACTTTAACTTTGATCTGGAAACCTTTTTTGTTCTTTTATTTTATTTTTAATAAAATAAAAGAATAATAAGCAGATTAAAATATGAAATATTTACCCTAATTATAATAACTTATATATGTTTCTACAAAAAAAGTATGTATAATAATATATTTGTCCTATACTTAAGTACCCACAGAAATGTCGCATCTGAACATATTAATTTCATAATCTATATTCCATGGCACGAGATGGCGTCTTAGGAATAATTTGTTTTATTATTAATCTATAATACTTTTTTATTGATCGTAAGTATCTTATTAACCGATGGAAAGTAATTCCTTGGTTTTTACTGACATTTCTTGAATTATTTGTGCAATATCTAAGTACACACGACGGCATATTTTTATCAAGAGATTTTTTTTTATCAAAACACTTGACAACTCTACAAGCGCCTAGCGAGTGACTGATTAAAGTGCGGTGTATGCACCGCAATTGAGTGGAACATAGTAGCTGAATGCAGTGTCGCCTCTAGTACGTAGTACGTAATAGCTCAATGTGTAAAAGTAAGATTTTGTCCTGTATCTGAAATGTACTGTGGTGACAAAATCCTACTGTGATAGTAATATTCATAGAGTTATGCTTCGTGATTTTCTTTAAAATAAAGTACAGAACGTATATAGTTACAGAATATACGTTCCACTGCTGGGCACAGAGCCTCTTCGCAGAGGTTTAATGGACGGAAGTGTCCACCGCGCTGTCCCAAAGTGTGTTGGTGTATTTCACGTCTTCGAATTTTTTTTTATTGCTTTCCCCACGGTGTTTTCGTTCACCGCCGAGCACGTGGTTAAACAACACTTAAAATTGCATTAACAATTTCAATGGTGCCGACGGGGTTTGGTCGCATACTGTGATATTTACAGCGAGCGCTAAGCACCTGAGCTACCATCGTCGGTCTTTAGTAAAGCAACAATACCTAATACATAATTCTATTATTTCAGATGGGTTTTTTGTGGTCATGGAACCATATGATTTCAAAAAAGTGGAAATGGCTACAGCCGGCTACTGGAGATGAGACGTTCCAAATGAGGATGCTGAGGGACTTCAAACATTTCTGCGCGAATCACGAACAAAGACTAAGCCAGTTCTGGGACCAGTGCTGGGAATTGCATGAGAAAGCTTCAGGAATTAAAACTTGTTGATTTATCGTTTAAAATTTTATAATAAATACGTAAAATATTTCTTCTTTGAATTGAAATTGGTTTTTCGTTTCTTTACCTTAAAGAGATTATTAAATCATCACAAGTAAAGTCTAAGAGCTAGCGCGCACTGGTGATTTTTGTCACCATGACTGTTATATTAAGTCCGTGGATATGTATGGAGATACACGCATGTTACGACATAACAACTAGGTGACATTTTTATACGCTGACCGGCGAAAAAGTCCGTGACAAAACTCTCACCGCGCCGTTTGGTTTCCATAGCAGCGCGCGTACGAGTGACGAAATTGTCACTCTCCGCGTTGTTCGTTCGCTATTTGCATTGCGACCAGACTGGCGCGTGCAAAATGACGTCACCATCTCTACGTAAAACGTGAATGTTCGTGAAACCGGTTTTTTTATAGGATAAGGGTGACAAGCGAGCATACAGTCCACCTGATGGTAAGTGGTTGTTGTGGCCCATAGACATCTACATCTATCCTCGTATGCGATTCAAAATGCAGATGCGTTGTCAGCCGTGAGGACTAAGATGGAATGCCTTTTTTCCGGTCAAAAGGGTATCCGGTTCCCTACATTCACCATACGAAACACAGCAGCAATATGCTGCTATTTGACGCTGGCGTTCTGTGAGAGCGTGGTCCGTCTCCGGTCTAGCCGACCCATTCGTGCTATATGATTAGTATAGCTGCATTATGTATGGCTCTACCACGTACAAAACGATATTGATAATGATGTACTTATAGAAAAATTTGAAATAGAGACCAACACTTTATGAATAAAAAGTTGAAAGTGTATTCGGATAGTAATTTGAAAATTAAAGCATGGGAAGAAATAAGCAGATTAATATTTTAAATTTTTCGGGTAACTTGTCGCCACAAGAAAAAACTGAAACTGGTAGGTTGCACATTTTTATTTCTAGGTATCTATATTTCATTTTTTTGCATCAGAAGCAAATATGGGCAACCCTCCGGAAAGCGGGGGAGGGAGGCGGTGAATGCTCATAGCAAACCACGCAGCCGGCTGCGTGGTTATGTGTAGACTTTTATCTCCTACTAAACACCGTCTTTATGCATTGGCTTACCGATCTGACGAGAGATCTCTAAGCCGTATACGAACGCGACCCTCCTTGGCAGAAAGGAGGGCGCAAGCGGCGAAAAGCCGCTTAGACGAGTGCCTAACTAAGGCAGATTAAGGGATGTGTTATGTAGGCTCGGCCTGAGCCGCCAGGAGGCAGTTCAGGCAAAGCTTGTTGGGGGGTCCGAGAGAGAGTTTCTCGGTCTGCGCACACTATAGCGAGTGTGAATAGGGGCTGCATAGGCAGCTGCCTCACGAATGAGATGATTTGGGTGGGACTCTGAGGCTTTGAAAAATCTCTCAGAGAGTGATTTAAGGAACTGCTGGATTGTTGGGAGCTCTAAGTCTCGGTGTAGGTCGGCATTACGGATATATAATAGGGCGAGTTAGTGGTCCTACGACAGAATAGATTTTGAACTATTTGAAGTTCATTTATAACTTTGGGCTTAGCATGTTCGAAAATGGGGGCCGCGTAGGTCGTGACAGGTCGTATGTAGACCTTATATAGGGTTCGCTTGTTGCGGAGGGACATTTTACTGTGTTTGCTCAACATGCTGTTGAGCCTACCCATGTAAAATCGCGCGGTGCGAGTTACCTTCTTAATATGGGGCTCGAAAGTGAGCCTTGCATCAAGGGTGACGCCTAAATATTTTGCTTTTGTTTGCCATGGGACAGGGGTTCCTAACATCCTGATTGGCGGAATGGTGGTGAGACGGCGTCGTTATCGTCGTCGAAGCAAACGGCGGAGCTCTTCTACGGGTTTACGTCGATACGCCATTTTTGGAACCAAGCTCCTAAGTCGTTAACTGACTTGGATCTTGTTCCGAATCTGTGGCAGTGAGTTTCCTTTAGAGTAAAGGGCTGTGTCATCTGCGAAGAGGGCTAGTTTAACACCGTTCGATGTGATAGGGATGTCGTTGGTGAATAGTATATATAGGAGGGGAGATATACAATTATTTTATTACTTAGGTACCTTACATAACTAAAACAAAAATTGCACATCGGAAATTGTAGTTGTTTAGTATTTTCGGTAGTCACTCTGAGCCCCACTATCGGGCTTGTAGGTAGTTAGGTGCAATCAAATTCATATTTTATTTAGCTTTTTTTCTCCTTAGTCTGATGAGTTTACAGACAACGACCGTCTCTTCGAAGTCCATGTCGGCAAATGAAGCTTCTATTTCAAAAAAATGTCACTGTCACCCTTCATGAGCGCACTCCGCTTTGAAAACGTAACGTGACAATGACAAAAACTTTAATGTCACGGTTACAAAAATCACTAGTGCACGCTAGTCTACTATGGCTAGTCTAGCCCCTTGGATGACACTACGGTCATGCAAGGGGCTAGACTAGATAGAATGGCTGTCAATCTTATTTTGTACGAGGGTCGGCGTCGCCGGGAGCACACATACAAGGAATTACGTCATATTATCACTACTATAAAGCCGATTCACTGTGTTGACAGACTGAGTAAATTTAAACATTTTAGACTTATGGTTAATTTAAAAATTTTAATACGTATTTATTTGTAAATAGTGTGCAATTTGGCATTTTATAAATAATTATCATGCGAAATTTGGAAACGATTGTAACGTCAAAACAAATCTCGTGTTGACATTTATACGTGTGAATTGACATGTTAATGATATTTTAGTGGCTACACGGGCTCCGCCCACTCCCCCGTTCTATTATGTATGTATTATAGTATTCTATAGGTGCGGTGCAGGGCAGACCGCGTGGGCGCTCAGCGGCAGTTAGTCGCTCGGGCACTGTCCATTAGGGTTGTCCTGTCACGCAAATAAATTAAAATGGTTCACACTTCAAGTGTAATAAAAAACTTACATTTCAATAGGTGTTAAAATAAAAAATATAGTGTAAAATAAGTTGTTATTACTCAAAATACGTTATAAACTTCTTATTGTTGGCTACGCGAGATAATATTTCTATGATATCGGCTATGCAATACGAATAAAGAATAAAATGTTTAATGTTTATTTAATTAAAAAATGTTGTGTTATATGATAAGAAATTACGGTAATAAGTTAGATAAAGACAGCTAGAATTTAGAAAGAAACAGCATATATATTAGACAAAGACATAAATAGTAGAAAGGGATGCCAACAGCCTCCTATATGTTTTTGAGTCGTGTAAAAATGAGTTTGTTAACTCGTATGAGTAACTAGCATTGTTGAAAAATAGTATCAAAATACAAAAAAATTATAGTTTAGAGTGATAGATATTATCATGAAAAATGTGAAAATGTATGTAATGAACGTTTCAGAAAGGTTTTATAAAATAATGGGACAAGAAATGTCTTAAAATCATTTAATTCTATTAATATAATGTCCTTTTAATGGTAGAAACATGTAAGAAATTAAACTCTCATTTTTAATATTTATATACTTATTTTAATTTGTGAGTAAATTTTTTTTATAGAAGAGGGGTAAACGAGCATACGGCTCACCGGATGATGACTGCGATAGACGATAGCTGGACTGCGATAGCTGGAGAATTGTTCAATGACTTTGTTGCCAAAATAATAATAATCATAATATTAATTTTCATTTGATAATTTGTATAACGAGGTTTGTCTTGTATATTGATTATACTCCGTCTTTTTTATAGAAGTGGGGGCAAACGAGCACAAGGTTCACCTGATGTTAAGTGACTACCGCCGCACATGAACAACCGCAACACTGGAGGAATTGCAGGTACGTTGCCGGCCTTTTGGAAAGGAGTAAGCTTTTTTCTTGAAGGTCCCTAAGTCGTATCGGTCCGGAAAAATCGCCGGTGGTAAACAATTCCACAGAGAAGTTGTACGAGGAAGAAGACCCCTAATAAAACGCACAGTGGTGGACCGCCAAGCATCCAGATGATGAGGATGATATCGTGAATTTTGCACTCTCTCGCACCTTAGTTTCGGCCTCGAACTCAAAGGATAGTAATTATATGTTTTTCTCTCTCCGCACGATACGGGGATAGAAGTGCTTTGCGCACTGAGCACTAATTTTTTTTTTGAGAATCTGGAAGCGGAATTATACTTATTAATAATACTTCTTTTCTTCTTGGTTTTTGCATCCCGCGACATCGATGCGTCTACCCAGGCCCGGTAGCATTCCCGCTTATGCCCACCACAGAAGACGGAATAAAAAGTTTCATACCCTGAAGTACCACATCAGCGACAGAATCAGCAACAACGCTGCGATCGTCCGGCGAGAAGTAAACCCGCCCCAAGGGTAAGATGTAAAAAAAAACCGCATCCTATCCCAATCGGCCGACCTATAGTGCCAAACACGGCGGCAGCCCGCAAGAATGCAACTGCGACGTTAATGTGACTGACACCATACTCCGGACAAGAGTATGGTCCGACGAGCCTAGAGAGGTGTCGACGGAAACCTGAAATCCGCGCGGATGGGAGGTCAGCAGTAGGTGATCTTCCACATCTAAAATACGCATAGGCGACGAGCAGTCATAAACAGATCTCCCCGCATGATCGGTTAAACGTGAACCGAGCCATTCGGCGCGGTGGGCGTTAAAAACGCCGAGGATCACGATCTCTGCGGAGGGGATCTGCTGTAGCAAAGAATCTGTGGCCATTTAGACGTGGTCGATTAGTCGGTCTGTTTCGGCATTACCGCTATGGGACCTATGGAGGCACCCGTAAACGCGCGGATGGTCGCCGCTGTCTACGCGTAGCCAAAGGATGGACAGGTCCGAACCTTCAAGACTGCCGAGGCGTCGAGAACAGATGTCCTCTCTGACGTATACGCAAACTCCAGCCCGGGGCACAAAGGAGTGTTCCAGTTTGTACCCTGGGTAGGAGAGATAGGAAGCATTTTACCACGTCACGTAAAGATTTAGCTGTGGAGAACACTCTTTTAATCATTTTAGAATAATTTTTGACATATTCT